CTTCTTTAAGAGGCTCCTCTGTCCTCCACTCGTTACCTGTATTAATGGCACCTGTTTGAACTTGTTATCAGTATAAAAGACACCTGTCCACAACCTCAAACAGTCACACTCCAAACTCCACTATGGCCAAGACCAAAGAGCTGTCAAAGGACACCAGAAACAAAATTGTAGACCTGCACCAGGCTGGGAAGACTGAATCTGCAATAGGTAAGCAGCTTGGTTTGAAGAAATCAACTGTGGGAGCAATTATTAGGAAATGGAAGACATACAAGACCACTGATAATCTCCCTCGATCTGGGGCTCCACGCAAGATCTCACCCCGTGGGGGCAAAATGATCACAAGAACGGTGAGCAAAAATCCCAGAACCACACGGGGGGACCTAGTGAATGACCTGCAGAGAGCTTGGACCAAAGTATCAAAGCCTACCATCAGTAACACACTACGCCGCCAGGGACTCAAATCCTGCAGTGCAAGACGTGTCCCCCTGCTTAAGCCAGTACATGTCCAGGCCCGTCTGAAGTTTGCTAGAGTGCATTTGGATGATCCAGAAGAGGATTGGGAGAATAATAATAATAATAATAATAATAATATGCCATTTAGCAGACGCTTTTATCCAAAGCGACTTACAGTCATGCGTGCATACATTTTTGTGTATGGGTGGTCCTGGGGATCGAACCCACTACCTTGGCGTTACAAGCGCCGTGCTCTACCAGCTGAGCTACAGAGGACCACATATGGTCAGATGAAACCAAAATAGAACTTTTTGGTAAAAACTCAACTCGTCGTGTTTGGAGGACAAAGAATGCTGAGTTGCATCCAAAGAACACCATACCTACTGGGAAGCATGGGGGTGGAAACATCATGCTTTGGGGCTGTTTTTCTGCAAAGGGACCAGGACGACTGATCCGTGTAAAGGAAAGAATGAATGGGGCCATGTATCGTGAGATTTTGAGTGAAAACCTCCTTCCATCAGCAAGGGCATTGAAGATGATACGTGGCTGGGTCTTTCAGCATGACAATGATCCCAAACACACCGCCCGGGCAACGAAGGAGTGGCTTCGTAAGAAGCATTTCAAGGTCCTGGAGTGGCCTAGCCAGTCTCCAGATCTCAACCCCATAGAAAATCTTTGGAGGGAGTTGAAAGTCCGTGTTGCCCAGCGACAGCCCCAAAACATCACTGCTCTAGAGGAGATCTGCATGGAGGAATGGGCCAAAATACCAGCAACAGTGTGTGAAAACCTTGTGAAGACTTACAGAAAACGTTTGACCTGTGTCATTGCCAACAAAGGGTATATAACAAAGTATTGAGAAACTTTTGTTATTGATCTAATACTTATTTTCCACCATAATTTGCTAATAAATTCATTAAAAATCCTACAATGTGATCTTTTGGATTTTTTTCCCTCATTTTGTCTGTCATAGTTGACGTGTACCTATGATGAAAATTACAGGCCTCTCTCATCTTTTTAAGTGGGAGAACTTGCACAATTGGTGGCTGACTAAATACTTTTTTTCCCCACTGTACGTCTTTTATACGTTTTTTTCAACATATTTTTGCTTACTGGGTAGGCTATCTTTAACATAATGTTTTATTTTAGGTTCCAAAAACAAGATTTGGCATGATCATTCTTTCAAATAGAACTAATTAAGATTAAATAATGTCAGTGTTTGTTGACAGTGTTGACAGAAGTGACACAGCACCCCTCCCTCCCTTCCTTCATGTTCACTACTGCACAGTTGACAGCATTGTAGTGTATAACAATGTCACTGTATTACATTTATGTATGTGGCTACCGTTTCCAAATAAAGTTCCTGTCTTTGTGCTCAGATTGGTGCAACTGCAGTCAAGTTGTAGCTTTAGGAACGACTCTATGGGAGGTACAGCAGTGGATACACACATTTTAAACAAATGATAATCTTTCAACTCAGCTCACACCCGCACCTGACAAGAGTTTCAGGTGAAACCTAAGTGTCATGGAAATGTACCTAGTGTTTGCAGCACAGCACAGCCGCAGCCATTCTTGATATTTAGTGTAAATAGCCTTCCTTACTCTCTGAATGGAGTCTAGCCTATGAACCACACCTACTTTTCCACTCAAAGCAGCTTGAGTATGAGAAATAGATCAATTATTAGATTACATTGATATTCGGGGGGTTCAATGCGGTTGTTTTTTAGGGGACAATATAAGATTTATAATTTAGCCTACCTCATCATGTTCATCCAATCTCGCCAGCCTGTCGTGGTTATTGTGTGAGTGTGTCGGTGTGTGTGATCTTGTCTGCGCTTGTCTGCTCCCGTGTGCAATTGTGCATGTCTCTTTTTTGTCTGTCTTCCTCTTTCCCTGTCTGTCTGTTCATCTATCCATCTGTCTACGTCTGTTGAGGTGGTACTATGGGAACATCAACCGGCTGAAGGCTGAGAAACTGCTCCTGGCTTCTCAGAATAAGGATGGCTCGTTCCTGGTGCGCATCAGCGAGAGCCACAGTGATGAATACACCATCTCCGGTAAGCCCATATTGCATGGTCACATGTTAATTACTTGGTAATAATCTGTGAATTTCATGTTTGTTTCTTTGGAATTCATTAACACAAGCACCATATGCACCATTTGGTAGCCTACCGGGTAGCTCTGTTGAATTAATTGAAGTAAATAGCAGAAAGGACCCATTGTTACCCACAGAGATCCTATTAAATTACATGTATTATATTAAATAGAGTTCAAATTTTTTATTATATGTTGTTACCACACAATTTCACTATTAAATAGTATGCAAACAAATACCAGTGGAAAAATGTGTGGGAAAGGAAGTGCAACCGTTCATTCACCAATGGGTGGCAATAAAGTACTTCCGTAGTTGAGAACCACCTTCATCTGATCACCCACTGTAAGCCAAGTGAGGAATGTCCAAGTCAATGCTCATATGTCTTGTTGCTAATATTACTTTGGCCAAGTGTGTGTGTGACAGAAGACATTTCAAAAGGAATACTTTTGGAATGTGTCTGTTATTGTGTACAAACCACCCTGCTTTTGAAATGTGTAAAATATAAAACAGTCAAATCATATTTGCCCTCTCCTCCACAGCCAGAAACGATGGGAAAGTGTTCCATTTCCGAATCCAGCGTTCATCGATCGGGGCGTTCCTTGTGTCAGACAAGATTTCCTTCGCCACTCTGGGGGAGCTAATCCAATACCACCAGAACAACTCCAGGAGTCTAGGAGTTCCTCTGGATGAGCCATGTGCACAGCAGGTGTGTGTACCACCCGGATCACAAACACACATCCAGAGTTTTTGGCCCACATATTCCCCGAAATCAAAACATACAAAATTATCTGTTCACTTTGACATAATTACGGAATCAAGAAGCGGTAGTGTAGTAGCAGTGATCAGGCTGTTTTTACTGGAGACCTCTCCGTGATTCAGGTCTCTTCTCTCTTCCTTCCCAGCAGAGATGATGTGACTGAGTCAGAGGCTGTGGAAAGCCCCGCCCGCAGACACACACAGGGCCTTTTTATTTCACAATTTCTTATTTCATAATTTTCTGCTTTTCAATTTGTGAATTTCTATAGTATTTGCATTTATATTTCTTAGCAGTTAGACTGATACTGTTGCAATTTTATACACAATTTGATTGTAGGTGTAGTTTAATTTGTGCCAAAATCATTGTTGTCCTCCATGTTCAATTTGACTAAAAAGAAGAGTACATGAGAAGCTCATACGAAGACTAGCATGTCTTTAATGCAGTTTTGACACTTCTGTGGCTTCCTCATTTTGTTGTTGTATGAAACACACAAACATGTAGACTGAGTCTCTGGAAAAGAAAGCCAGTTGTTTATTTCAAGTTCATCTATTCATGAGATTGAAAGGAGAAGATGTTACATTTCATTTGTATTTTTTATTTTATTTAACCATTGATGTTGTGTATTTTGATTTGCCAAGACGATCACAATGTAAACTTGGTAATCATTTAAGTATATATAAATCATCCTTTGTAGATTATTTATTGATCATTTATTGATTGACACACTACTTTTGTAGCACTTGATTATCTATGAGTCTAAGTATCAAATAATAAATTTGTCTTTTTAAAAGAGCTTGTGTTTTTAAAGAAACTTCCCTATCTTTGAATGTACTAAAGCCATCTGAGCATCATATACACACACACACGACGGGGCTGTAGTGGAGCGGGTCGAGAGCTTGAAGTTCCTCTGTGTCCACATCACTAAGAAATTAACACGATCCGCACACACCAACACAGTCGTGAAGAAGGCACGACAACGCCTCTTCCCCCTCAAGAGGCTGAAAAGATTTGGCATGGGCCCTCAGATCATCAAAACATTCTACAGTTGCACTACCTTAACCACAATGCTAACCTTATACCTAACCTTAAATTTTCAAAAAAGATTACTATTACCAATATTTACCTTGTGGCTGTGGTAACTAGTGACAACCCTTTTTTGCACACACACATGCATATTGACGCCACACACACACATATACACTCTTCCCATACGCTGCTGCTACTCTGTTTATTATCTATCCTGATTGCCTAGCCACTTTTACCCCTACCTACATGTACATATTACCTCTTACCTCAACTACCTCGTACCCCTGCACATTGACACGGTACCGGTAGTCCTTGTATAAAGCCTCATTATTGTTATCTATTGTGTTACTATTTTCTATTTCTATTTGCTAATTTTCTTACTTTTTAACTCATTTTTGGGAAAGGGCTCATAAGTAAGCATTTCACGATAAAGTCTACACCTGTTGTATTCGGCGCATGTGACAAATACAATTGTATTTTATTTGACAGACATGCGTAATAATTTTCCTTGTAGTTTGCACTTTTGGGACTATTTCATTGGTTCCATTGTACTGGGCAAACAAAATGAAGCACAGCTGAGTTCTGTGCGGCTGTAACAGTGTTGTGGTGTCCAGTTAATGGAGGCTGCTTGTAACAGTGTTGTTGTGGTGTCCCCAGAGGGAGCTGTTTGACATGGAGCCCTGGGAGCGTCCTCGGGAGGAGTTTAAACTGCAAAGGAAGCTGGGGGAGGGCCACTTTGGAGAGGTGTGGGAGGCCCTGTGGATCAACCAGAACAAGAAGGTGGCCATCAAGATGCTCAAACAAGGTAAGCATGCTAGCTCTCGCTGCTATCATATTAACTACAGTGTTATACATGATTCAGCACACTACAAGCAGAATTGTGGCAAATATTTGAGTGACAATTGATGAGGGAATTATTTTCAAAGACATACTGCAGATGGGCAAATGCTGCAATGGCAAAACATTCTAAAAGGCAGGAACGCATGCATGCACAAAACACACAATTACATACTCTCTAACTTTGAGTCAGTCCATTCAGGTCAGGGCCCTCACATGGTTCATAAAGGGATTATATAATGCTTCATAGGGTCAGTCCTAAGCTCCTTATCACATAAACTCTTACCTGGACAGCACTGATGTCAGCCTCTCTCTGTCTCTCTGTTTCTCTCTCCCCTGCAGAGGACACTAAGCAGGATGAGTTTGTGAAGGAGGTCCAGGCGCTAAAGAACCTTCACCACCCCAAGCTAATCCAGCTGCTGGCCCTGTGTTCCAGAGGAGAGCCCGTCTACATCGTCACTGAGCTCATGACCAAGGGCAGCCTCAAGTCCTACCTGGGCAGTGAGTCAGTCACACCCTCCCCTCTGTTCTGCAGTCTTTACATTGCATTCAGTGTGTGTGTGTTAACAGATGATTATGCTTGACCAATAACATAAGTATTCAAAAACCTCATCAGTCATTGGTTGCTTGGCTGAAAAAAATAATGTAATAGCAGGACTAATATAGGGCTTGCATATTAAATAGCTCCAACTCAGGTGACCTGACAAAGATCCATTTGAGATTGAAACGTTTTAAACTAATAAATGTACATGTTAAAGCAGTTGAGTAACTATGCAGACCTTATAATGCTTGACAGATCCTAACCCGTGTGCTCCCTGTGCTGTTCCCAGCGCCGGAGGGTCATGTACTGACCTCTGCCCACCTCATCTACATGGGCAGCCAGGTGGGCGAGGGCATGGCCTACCTGGAGGACCGACACATCGTGCACAGGGACCTGGCGGCCAGGAACATCCTGGTGGGAGATGACCTGGTCTGTAAGGTGGCTGACTTTGGACTGGCACGGATCATTAAGGTAAGGATAGAATGGATGTGACATGAATGTGAAATGTATGGAGAAATGAAGAGAGAGAACCTATAGGTAAACTAATGCTTTAGAAAAATATACTGTATGTTGGGCTTACTTATCCTGGTTAATGAGAAATTGTTCACTCTCAGATAAAGCAAGGATTCTTGCTTAAAAAGCTATTTTTTGGGGCACATTTCCATGGGAATATGAAGAAATTCTTAGTCAACATAAATGGTTGGATATGTCCCCCCTCTCTGTGTGTGTGTGTGTGTGTAGGACAGTGTGTACACAGCCAGCAGAAGCACTAAGATCCCAGTGAGATGGACGGCCCCTGAGGCTGCTCTCTACCAGCGCTTCTCTGTCAAGTCTGACGTCTGGTCCTTTGGTGTGCTGCTCTATGAGATGATGTCACGAGGAAAGATGCCATACGACGGTGTGTGTGTGTCAAATCTTTTCAAGACAATATTCTTATTTTTACCATATACAACACATATCACAAGAGGAAAAGTCAATCCTCATTACAGTTAATATATTACCTATATCTGTAAAAATGCTTTTGAATATTTCCCTCTGAATAATATTTATTATTCTCCCTCTTTCGCTCTCGATCTCTCACACACACACACACAGGAAAGAGCAATAAGGAGGTGCTGGAGCTCCTGTCGACAGGCTACAGGTTGTCTTGTCCCAGTAGATGTCCCCCCAACATCTATCGCATTATGTTGGCGTGCTGGAACCCTGAGGCCTCCAAGCGGCCCTCCTTCCATGCCCTGCACAGCCAGCTAGACACCATCTACACCCGCATCTACTTCAAGACCATCGAGGTCTAGGTCTGGAGGAGGAGAAGGAAGAAGAGGAGGAGTAGGAGGCCAAGGGGTGACTGCACTGACAGACACAGACCAATGAAAAGCAGAGGGACTGCAAGACATTATCTAACATGGTGATCCTTTTCTTAAGTTGTCTTGGTTTTGTCATTGATGTTGTTTTTATTCGAGGTTATGTGCAATAAATAGCCCCTCCTGGGGAAACGGAGGAAGGAGAGGAGAGGAGAGGAGGGCAGGAGAAGTGGAGCCACTGTTACAGCCCACCGAGGCCCTATTCTACAGTTTGCCCCACTGCACACAGGCCACAGGCCAAATGGCCAGTCATACAGAAAGTGCCTATATGTTTACACACTAGAGACTAATCTCATAGAGACAGCTCACACAGTCCACAGTGATGGAGGACATGGTCATTGAGACTGGAGAGTGAGCCATAGAGGACATCTTTTGGAATTCACTGTTCTACCAATGGAATATTTTATTTTTAACTGATGCAATTTTGAACTGTCAGCGCATTATATTGAGAAGATATATTAATACAGTTTGGGAAATATGAGCCATATCATAAATGTCCTTTATTCTACTTTGATTGAGTCTCTTCCATATCTCGACTCTGCCATTGGGTATTTAACAACAGAAATTATTATAATAAAATATTTTCTAGATAACTGTCCTGTTTCAGTGTGTGTGTGTGTGTGTACATTAGGAAGAACATACAATTATAATGCTTCATTTGTGTACAAAAAACCGTAACCAATCAATCTCTTTAAATCCTCCATAAAATAATGGGAAAGCCACACCAAACTCAGGTGCTGCAATCTTAGCTCATTTACAGCTGGCCGCACCGCGGCGCTGTCCACTCCCTTGGTGCTGAATCCGCAGCCAACTTTCATGACCGCTAAACGCAGTGCCGTCCATTTGTGCCGAATTCATTCTCGTCCGCAGTTAGTCTTTCAGCGATATTTGGTGAATCTGAGAAAAGGGGGAAAATCTTTTCAATTAAATTAATATTACCACAATTTTATTTGGTGTGTTTTGAATAAAATAGAAGTAGTTATAGGTCAAGTCTACAGTAGCATAAATTGGCAGCTGGAGTAAAATGCATTTTGACTAATGTTATTGTTTCTTATTATTATGGCCAGTAGGCCTACAGCATAAGCTCAGCGAAGCTCACCAGCTGGGTATACAGTGCATTCGGAAAGTATTCAGACCCTTTGACTTTTTCCATTTTGTTATGTTACAGCCTTATTCTAAAATCGATTAAATAGTTGTTTCCCCTCATCAATCCATTGAAGAATGATGGAGGCCACTGTGTTCTTGGGGACCTTCAATGCTGCAGAAATGTTTTGGTACCCTTCCCCATATCTGTGCCTCGACACAATCCGCTCTCGGAGCTCTACGGACAATTCCTTCGACTTCGTGGCTTGGTTTTTGCTCTAACATGCACTGTCAACTGTGGGACCTTATATAGACAGGTGTGTGCCTTTCCAAATCATGTCCAATCAATTGAATTTACCACAGGTGGACTCCAATCAAGTTGTAGAAACATCTTAAGGATGATCAATGGAAACAGGATGCACCTGAGCTCAATTTCGAGGCTCATAGCAAAGGGTCTGAATACTTATGTAAATAAGGTATTAATGTTTTTTATTTTTAATACATTTGGAAAAATGTCTATAAACCTGTTTTCGCTTTGTCATTATGGGGTATTGTGTGTAGATTGATGAGGGAAAAAATGTATTGAATCAATTTTAGAATAAGGCTGTAACATAAATGTGGAAAAAGGGAAGGGGTCTGAATACTTTCCGAATGCGCTGTACATACATACATAGCAGGATCTATGAGTTGACCAGATAACTTTGATAAACAACCAGAAATAACTATTGATTTTCTGGTTCATTATGAAAGCTACATTTAGATATGTTTAAAACATGCCGATTCAAGCTTATCTTTCTAAAAAATAAATAAAAAGTTATTTCAGAATATTCAGGCAAGTTAGCTGGCGGGCAGGTGGGGCGTAGCAGTGGAGAGGGTGTTTTCATTTGGCTGTAACATAATACCAGTAATAGGGTCAGAGCCTTGTTTTCAGGCTTCTTCGGCAGCATCTGGCTCACTGGGACGACTCTATCAAAAAGGATGGGCATCGCAGGAGAAATGAATGAATGCGAATGACTTTGGAAAAACTAGTTAAAATATCAGCAGCAATACGGAGAAGGTGCGGGTTCAGAAAGTGCGCAGGCTACATAGCCTGGGGCTAAATAGCGTCCTTAACCATTTTGCGTGGAGATGCATTCGCCTTCAACAAGAGCATCATGAAGAAGGTGACATACGTATTTTATCTTTATGTCGAGTCTACATGCCTACATTGCCCAAGATGACACAATGACATGGCGTTCACAGCAATGGTTGCGAGATTTGTAGTCGCATAAGCTCATTTCAAAGAATCACATCATCGCGGACCGCATTGTGGAGGGCTGGCCTATTTGTACGGCAGGGCGGGGGTGAAAAATCCAGTAGGCCTAGTAGTAGGCTAATTGAAGATGACCAGTTAAGCCCCTCGGAATACCGTGGCGATTTTTTATTGAATGTATTGCCCATTGAACTCAAACGAAATGATGAATTCGATGGCCTTTGCTGAGGGTTCGCAATCTCCGGGTGCCGCTGGGGTCCCCGTTGGAGCGCCAGCGTCCGGTACTAGTGCTAGGGTGTCTAGTGCCCTACGGAACGATCTGGGTTCCAATATTCATGCCTTGAAAACCCTTAACCTGCGATTTAGATGTTTCCTTGCTAAAGTTCATGAATTGGAGCGTAGAAACAAGTTGTTAGAAAATCAACTACAGCTAGCATTGGAGCAATCCCGCTACAGAGCCTACTTTAGCCGAGAACAAACAACCCAAACGGGCGCTTTGGACCTGTCTCTGGCTGGATTCCAGCAACGGGTAGACCTACCAGGTACGATATGGAACTTCACCCACACAAGGAGGTTTGGGGACCGACTCGAGACTAGGCTCCACAGCCCCGGGGTGTCATGGATGCAGCCGGATGGTGTTGGTGTTGGAGTTCAAGTCGACACCGTCACCCCAGAACTGCGAGCCCTGTACAATGTGTTAGCTAAAATCAAGAGAGATAGAGACGAGTACAGAAAAAAGTAAGTGATGTCACTTTCAATTAACCCTTTCAATTGTTAAGTTGTCAAGCAAACTTTTGCAAAGATGCAATCAATCAAGCCATTCAGAACAAGGCATCTCACAATCTTATCCAAGTGTCTGACAAATGTTTTTACTTATTTGACAGATTGTTGAGGACCTTGTTGAACTTGGTGAGAAGTTGTTGATAGGTTGTTGACAAGTTCTTGTTTACTTTACATTTACATACAAATTGTAGCAACCTTGTGTTCAGAGGTTTCAGCCCCTTGGTCTAAAGCTTAAGGTGTTGGGCTGATGGTTGCAGGGACCCAGGTTCAGTTTGGGCTACCCTCTGAATTCGCTACACTGGTGTCAGAACTGAGATGGCACTGTCGGGAATCCAATGTAAGTGTGTCTCATTGTTATGGGTGCAAGGGATTTGTGAGAGTGAAGTGCAGGATGTGCTTTGCTTTCTGAAATAAGGCCAGTAAGTTACCTTACAACACCTAGTGATCTTGTCAAGAGGTTCAAGACCCTTCCAGCCCCCTCCAGCTGTAACTTTTGTAATTAGTGTTTCTACACTCAGTTTTGAACAGTAATGACTAGTGCCTCAAAGGCTTGAATCTGTCATTTCCTACCCACGCCATATCATCACAATGTACTGGAAAACTGCCACTGCCACTGGCAATTTCATTTGATTATATTTTATATAAAACATCAGAAAGAGCATAAAACTCTTGTCATAAACAAAGACTGGCAAATATTGTTATTAGGTAATAAAGTGTCCTATTTATATAATGAATATGAATTCGGAGGACAGAAATTATTAAATATTAAAGCATTAGACCTATCACTAAAAGCTTCAGTCATATAAAAGTTATACTTAAATCCGAACTGGTTCTCTAGCAAATTAGTAAGATTGTCTCACCCAATGTTCAAGAATGGCCTTTTTCCCGTTATTCCAATTACAACCTCTCACTTTCAGTTATTTGAAAAGCAAATAATCTCCCAAATATCACTATTTCTAAAACAAGCCATAGAAAGTTGGTTGCAATTTCAATTTAATTGTCCAGAAATGACAGAACAAATAATGCAACAAATATTGTGGTTAAACTCAAATATACTAATTGACAAAAAAACTATTTTTTTTGACAAAATGTTTAAAAAAGGTATAATCTTTGTAAATGATATCATCGGTAGGACTGGTGGAGTTATGTCACACATGCAGCTAACAAAAACATATGGAAATGTCTGCTCTACCCAAAATTACAACCAAATAATTGCAGCCTTACCGCAAAAATGGAAGAGGAAAGTGGAAGGGGGAGAAAGTAAGGAACTTGTCTGTCGGCCTTGCATTAAATAACATAATTGGTTAAAGAAAACTGTGATAAATAAAAAAGTATACCAGTTTCATTTAAGGACCAAAGGATTGACAGCCGTCCCATATAGATTGCAAAATAGTTGGGAAGAGATCTTTGACGTACCGATCCCATGGCATAGTGTTTATGAACTGATACGCAAAACAACACCGGATTCAAAACTTAGAATCTTTCAATTTTAAATGATTATATAAAATTCTTGCTACCAATAGAATGTTATTTATATGGGGGAGACAATCTTCCCAGCTCTGTAGATTTTGCTGCGAAGAGACAGAATCATTAGATAATTTGTTTTTGTACTGTCCATTTGTAGCTTGTTTTTGGACACAGGTCCAGGAGTGGCTAAAGGATTGCAATATTTACCTGGAGCTAACCTTGCGGGTACTATTTAATGAAGCTGCCAGTTGAGGACCTGTGAGGCGTCTGTTTCTCAAACTAGACACTAATGTATTTGTCCTCTTGCTCAGTTGTGCACCGGGGCCTCCCACTCCCCTGTCTATTCTGGTTAGAGCCAGTTTGCGCTGTACTGTGAAGGGAGTAGTACACAGCGTTGTACGAGATCTTCAGTTTCTTGGCAATTTCTCGCATGGAATAACCTTCATTTCTCATAACAAGAATAGACTGTCGAATTTCAGAAGAAAGTTATTTGTTTCTGGCCATTTTGAGCTTGTAATCAAACCCACAATTGCTGATGCTCCAGATACTCAACTAGTCTCAAGAAGGCCAGTTTTATTGCTTCTTTAATCAGCACAACAGTTTTCAGCTGTGCTAACATAATTGCAAAATGGTTTTCTAATGATCAATTAGCCTTTTAAAATGATAAACTTGAATTCGCAAACACAATGTGCCATTGGAACACAGGACTGATGGTTGCTGACAATGGGCCTCTGTACGCCTATGTAGATATTCCATTAAAAATCAGCCATTTCCAGCTACAATAGCCATTTACAACATTAACAATGTCTACACTGTATTTCTGATCAATTTGATGTTATTTTAATGGACAAAAAATTTGCTTTTCTTTCGAAAACAAGGACAAAATATGAAATATGTTGGTAGCTTGAGGGTTAAGATCATGATGTAATATTATGGCCCCTCAGTATTGTCTTGAACAGCTGGTCTGGGAGCAGGGGAAGTGGAGAGTCCTAAGCTGTTCCTGTCTGCACTGGGAATTAAATGGCAGTATGCCATCAGACACTCGTCATGCCACAACCCCCCCCCCCCCCCCCCCCCCCCCCCCACACACACACACACCCACACACACACACACACACACACTGAAGGGAGTGAATCACAATGATTCTTCACAAAATCGCAATTCTAGACTGTCACAAAGGTATGTTCTTATTGATAAGTGGGAGGCTGGAAGGAAGGGCTTGGCAGTTTAGGAACTATGCTTCTGCGTTTCATTTGTTGCTTTTTTAATACCAGAACTATTTCAATTGTTATTGTATGGTAAGTGTGTAGGCTAAGTATGTTATTTTAAAACTTGACACAAAAACAACAATTTTGAGAAGCACCAGTTTCAGACAATTTACCCCAACACACAAGTGTAGTCGTAGTAGCCTTTCGTACAACCCACAACATAAGACAAATAATTAACTGGCCATATTATGCTACTGAAAATAAATGTACTTGACCCTAGGTCCATTCCTTTTCAGATCTACCAGTGTTTAGTGAATTATTTTGTTGTGATTACATGTGTAATGGAGTGTACGTCCACTAACGTTTGAACATCTTGAAGAACGATCTGGCCTTAATGGCAATGTACTCTTATAAACTACACCCGGCACAGCCAGAAGAGGACTGGCCACCCCTCAGAGCCTGGTTCCTCTCTAGGTTTCTTCCTAGGTTCCTGCCTTTTTTAGGGAGTTTTTCCCTAGCCACCGTGCTTCTACATCTGCATTGCTTGCTGTTTGGGGTTTTAGGCTGGGTTTCTGTATAAGCACTTTGTAACATCTGCTGATGTAAAAAGGGCTTTATAAATACATTTGATTGATTTGATCATCAGTAAGAAAGATGTCAGCAACTACAGTTCCAGCTATGATGTTTAATGACAATTATATTTACGGGGGTTATAAATGTGTGTGTGTGTGGTTTCTGAAAGTACAGAATAAAGAGAGAGAAATGATTTGTGATTAAAATACAATATCAGGATATAGCAATATTACAATGAAGTAACATATTAATCTTCTATAACAGTAAATAAGTCACATTGACAATAGCTAGGTTTTGTTAAGTTGCGTCAATTCAAATCTGGTATTAGGAACAAAAGAGGTCAATACACGTCTTCTAAAATAGACTAGTATTTTAATGAATGCAAACCACTTCAATGGTAAATATGATGTTCGTATATACGGGGCCACTGAAATACCACAAAGGGCACTCAGAGAACTGATGCATTGTTCTAAGTTCTTCTTCAAATACTCTGACAGAGATAGTTCCCGCTCCCTGCTGGCCAATCAGAGTAGAGACTGAGTGTGGTTTAGACTTACTCAGCCAATCGTTGGCGCACAGGCTGGTCCCAGACCCTTGGCGCTCCACCGTTGCACACTGTTGCCAGGCATAAGTTGTTATCATCACAACTTGTAGAGTCAGCACCTTTTTGCAGTACACATGTCCTTGAGTATGATGGTTTAACAAAGAGGCAGTGTTCGTGTATGTGAGAATCACAAGTTCTTATCTCATCCTACCCCCTAACGTTCCTCACATGAATCACAGCTTGTTATGTGAAACAATTTATATCAGTACAGTACAAACCCATTATGTTTAATCATTAATGCATTCCTTCTAAGCTAGGCATCACATCTAGATCCCCACAGTTTCTATCCAATTGGCTACAGATTTTCATGTGAATATTAAAAAATCCACATAAAGAAAATATTCGCATTTTCCCACCAGTGGTGTGTTTCCACACAACAGACTTGGTCCGGATAAAAATCAGTGCGTGATGACGTAGTGCACACAAAATGTACTTTGTCGCTTAAGTTTTTAATCAGTGTTAACAACTTAGCGACTTTGTCGCTATATTTAGCGAGTTTTCAGACCCCTCTAGCGACACATTTTCAAAAACAGCGACTAGCGACAAATCTAGCGATTTATTATTATTTTTCTAGTGTTATTGGAGACTTTTGGAGACTCTGACGTGAAATCACGTATCGTTCTTACTCTTCTCAACGAGCAGTGGGTGTTTTGTTACCCCCGTCCCAAAGCACTCACAGGCGGCCCAGTCCTCGCGCAGCAGTCCCTCCCAGCTGCAGTCAGAGCAGATGTTCACCCCTCCGCATCCAGACTGCAAATGAATCGCGCATGCGGGAAGCCACCGCTGGCTGATCCCGCCCAGGTTTACATTCAGGGCGGGATGTAAATGTAGGGTGTTTTTTACTCACTTTTTGTCTCTCCCACAACTTTATTCCTCTCTCCTACAGTTTCCATCACAATTACATGCACATGGCCAATTATGCAAATGATGTGATGGCGTCATTTAGCGACTTCTAGCAACTTTTAGGACAGCCAATAGCTACTTTCCTTACTGAGGAGTTGGCAACACTGGTTTTCATGTACCGAATAAAAATCAGAAGGTCAATGTGTTTCCATCACATTTTCAACTCTACCGATAGTTTTGTCACAAAAACTGTTGCGTTGAAT